GTGTGAGATGAGTGGAGTGAGATGAGTGGTGTAAGATGTCTGGTGTATGATGAGTGGTGTCAGATGAGTGGTGTGAGATGAGTAGTGTAAGATGAGTAGTGTGAGATGAGTGGTGTGAGATGAGTGGTGTGAGATGGGTGGTGTAAGATGAGTGGTGTAAGATGGGTGCTCTTGCTCTTCCTTTTCCTCTCCCTCCCTCTCTTCCTCTTCTTCTTGCTGAGGGTGTTTTTCTTTCTCTTGCTTATCCTCTTTCTTTTTTTCTTCCTCTTGCTCTGGCCTTTTTCATGTCTCTTGCTTTTGCCCTTCTCCTTTTGTTTCTTCTTTTTCTTGCTCTTCCTCTTTCTCTGCTACTTCCAGTTCCCATTCCTCTTGCTCTTGCTTCTTCTCTTCCTCTCTCTTCCTCTTCCTCTTCCTCTTCCTCTTCCTCTTCCTCTCTCTTCCTCTACCTCTTCTTCTTCTTCTTCCTTTCCAGCTCCTCTTCCTCTGGCAGTCCGAGGACATGTTAGCTCAGCTCCTTTAGTTTGCCGTGGAAGGGGATCCTAGCTTCATTGGGGCAGCTGAACACTGGTCACACCTTTGCCAGTTTGCCTCACAAGAAAGAAGTCTTGCAAACGATGATAAAGCTCACAGTCAAGGGTATGCGCCACAATGGGACAAGAAGAAGCAGAAGAAGAGGAAGAGCAAGAAGACGAAGAGGAAGAGCGGAAGAGGAAGGATAGCAAGGAAGAGGGAGAGGCGGAGGCAGAAAAAGAGAAACAGAAAGAACAAATAGCGGAAGACTAAAGAAAACTGCAGGAACATGTCAGAAAAGGAGATCAAGAAGGCCAAAGAAGAGGAAGAGGAAGATGAAGAGAAGGAGCAAGAGAAAGAGAACAAGCGGGCGACGCAACTCCTCTTCAAGCAGATGCCCGTGGTCAGCCTCAATACAAGAACTCACTATAGAAGTCCATACCGGGGATGCGGCTGCTGCTTCAATCCAACGGACTTTGTGTTGGTAGAGGAGAGCCGCCGGATACCCAACCCAATTGCAGTAATTGTCATTGGCTACACCTTGCGGGACCTGACTGCGGTACATCTGCTACATACGGGTACACACTTGACACACAGGGAGCTCGCATGCACGGCACAACTTTTGGCTGTTGTGTTTACGTCGACGGGACAGTGCGTTCCATCACAACGATTTTACAGACAGAAGGCAAAGCTACACGACCCCAGAGCGCTTGCCTGTGGCCGCCCCCGGCTGCTTCTACCCGCCGCTGCCGAGCGCTGCGGCGGGTTCCCTCGCACAAACAGGTTTAAACATGATCCTGGACGCACCGTCACGACCGCGTGCTGCGCCCTCGGCACGGCTGCGCCCTCGGCGCGTTCTCCCGCCCACGCCCTTGGAACCACACTGCGTTTGGACACCGCCCTTTCTTGCTTCTCTCTCCCTGCTCTCGCCGCTCTGTCCGACCCCCTCTCCACGCCCCGCGCCCGCGACGCGGAGACCGGGCGACAAGCGGACACCGTCACAAGGGCTGCAACTCCGACTGAGACTGGGACTGTGAGTGTCCATACCCAACACGAACTACGAACTAGCAATCACACGGCCAGCACCACATACCGCGAATGCTGCGGTCTCTGCTATTCCTCAGCCTGTAAATACTCAAACAATACTGTATATAGATAAGACAAAGGTAGATACACTTTTTAATAGTACAAAAGATACAACACAAAATCACGCATACATATATAGATACATTGTATCACATGTCAAACTCGGGACACCCTGCTCCAAAAATGCGCTGGTCACTGCTGGCAAGTTTGGGCATTTCTATATTGGAACCGCATTTGGAATACAGTATATATTTGACACATGTTGAAACCATGACTTGGTCCGTCTGTTTGGCTTGACAGTTTGACACTGCCAGGACCACAATTACAAACATGTTAAATCTCAATCCCTGAACTCAGCGAACTCCACAAAAACTGGACAGGCAAGAAAGGAATTGCAAGAGGACCGGCCTGTCGAGACAGGAGTTGGCAGCTTCGAAATTGAAAGCTTGTCAGGTTTGAGTCGCATTTCGGCTCCATGACCTCGAATTGGCGAATGCGATCTGCTCTTGTATGCACTCATGTAATGTGATTGTACAATGTGATACGCCTTTTCTGGAATCACTCAAGCTTTGTTCCATAAGTTCACACCTTTCCTGCCCACCTTGCTTTCTGATCTGGTCACATTAAGTCCAGCAAGTGACGTTGCTTAGAGTCAAACTATTGATCCGGAGGCTTTTTCAACGGGGGTGTTGTCATACTCACTCGAGAATGACCTCACAGAGTCGCAAAGAGCGACTTGACATGGGTTTCTTCAGACAAAATGATTGCTATGCCCATGGCGGCCGCCACATGACGCAACCATTCTACGTGGAGGTCAGACTATACTGCATCGTATTCAAATTCATTGCTTTTTGTAGCCTCAATCTGCAAAGCCTTGCATGCATATTTGCAATCACATGCAGTCTGTCCTGCTACCTTTATTTCATCTGCACTTTCCACAACATATGTTGCATGTATACAAGAATCATCCCGTGTGCTACTGCTTCTCGAGCTAGTAACGCTACGGGCCTGATCCACCTATGTCATGGACCAATCGGAACTTGCAACCTGCAAAATCAAGGCTCAAGGGCCTGCGTTCTGCCCACTTTTTTTGGCATGCCAAGTGAGATTCCACCAAAGGAGAAATAGCCTGTGCAAGCATCCAGGAATCCATCATTAGCAATGTGCGCAATCGATGTGCTTTAGTTTCCCAGGTCAATGATACATCACATCAAATGAAATCAAATGGAGATTGTAGAGAAGCCCCGAGCCTCTGCAACTGCAAGCAGTGGCACTCTCACATATCCACGGTGCGGCACACAAATTGCTGCACCTGGCAGATTTCAGGCTGTCGTTTGTCATTAGTTACATTAGTTCGTCATCTAGACTTCAAATGTCAAGCTACGTCGACGACACCAGCGACTCGCATCACCTTACCACGAACATACGGTCTTTTTTACGCTGGAAGCCAAACCCACCCTGTCTAAACTACAGTCATAACTCCTGAGCTATCTCAATGGCTTCACAAGCGGGAACTCTTGAGTGCACTTCTGACCTGCAAGGCTATGCAGCGCAGAAGCCCCACAGTGCCGGAGGCACGGTAGGCTCTGTTGGCACTTCCTATCACTTCCTTCCTCCTCGTTGCATCTAATTGAGGATCCATGGGTTCACTCCTCGGCTCTGCGAATTGCCATAATCCATTGGTTTCATGCTGCCCATGCTGCCGGCGACATCAGCCACAGGGCCACCTCCACCTGCAGTGCCGTTGGCCACTGCAGCTGCGACAGCTGCTGCATTTGCTCCAGGCGGCACAACCGACACTGGCTGCCAATATCCGCGCCTCAGGTTAACTCCACAACAACCACTTGAGGCCAATACGTCTGGTGACATGTCCTGATGATCCCTGTTTGCCTCGTCACACTGCCTTGAACGACTTCAGGGTTGGCGAGAATGATTACAATGCTCAAATAATATCAAATGGCTTCTCCATAGCACTGACAAACTCGTGGTTGAACTTCGGAGGAGGGTGGTGCCACAGATGTGATCGCTTGCTTCAATAGGTTGCTTTGCACCTACGAGAAATTTGAAATTGCAAGCACTCCTGGGGATTTACTTTGTTTTTTTCACATGTCTTTTCTCCTATCCTTCAGGAATGGTGTGGGTGGTTGCTACATAATTACCCCCTGGGCCCCAAGCTACGTTCCAAGATCTTTCTCGACGTTCAAACTTGCCAGCACGGACAGTGCCCACAAACCTGCACAATGCTGGGTTGTACTAGTAAAACCAAATGACACGGGAGAATTCTAGTTTTCACGAAGATCTGTTTGCAGTGAATACTAGCACAAATTTCTCCAAACTGGTTTTGGCTACTCGCGTAAGGATCTGTTGCAATTATATATAAAGCTCGTGCTCCATAGGGCTGCCAAAAAAAAGCCACGAAAGGAAACACATGTTCATATTGAAAAACCGGCCTCAACCCCCAAAGCTTGGTAGTTCATGGTGGTTTTAAGATGTTTTAAGTTTTCTTGGTTTCGGTATTACCTCTCACGCACTTCACACACTCCTGGACACAAATACTGAATCCGAGACCGTCCTACCACGGTCCCGAACCGAACCCGTCTCGCCCACCCAGCGTTTACTTTCCACCTCGAATTCAACATTGCACCAGGTGTTTCTTTCTACGCACAGGTGAATCTACTTCTACTTATCATTCTATGGCTTCCGTAACAGAAAAAATTGTTGGACCAAACTCTGATAGCATTTGCTCAGACGGGGGGAGACATATGCAAAGTAGGGTGCACACAAGCGCGGCAAGACTCTAGTGCACATCTTGCATCATACAGTGTGCTGTACAAACATTGCATTGCAGTGCAAAAAAAATGCCGCGTTGAATCACGAACAATCCAGATTATACTGTATACATCTCCGCGAAAACTGTGCTAGACACAGTGCACACAGCTTGGCAAAAGCACAAGTACAGTTTGTGCTGCCACTACATTTTATGCACTGCATGATACAACCTGCAAATACACCAACACCAGCGCCCAAACTGCATGGCGAAAACACAAAGTGCCTGTGCGTGAATTGTATTGCCAGAACTCAGCTCAAACATTGCCTTGTAAAGGCTACGTTGTACAAATTGCATTGGAATGAACCTGCAGTGGACAAACACACAGTATTGGAGAGACAACAGGTTGAACAATCTATAGTACATACACTGTATACCAGATCGGTATGTTTTCAGTTCTTTCAATATTTATTTTCAAAACAAATCCACCGGGGAGTCACTTGGATATCCGGGATTTGTATGAATTGATATGATTTGTTTCACGAAGGAATGGTTTCATATCACTTTGTTCAGATGCAAGCTCTTTGCCCCTGAGGTTCCTATCTGTGTTCTTTTGTTTCCAGAACATGTAAATTAGCATGCAGCACACTACCGGACTGCGTCTTTGCCTATGTCTTGTTCTCTGGTTGCGTTTGAGCCAGTATTTCTCCCATTCTAGAACCACCCCGTGGCTGTTGGGCTGGGAAGAGTTGAGAAATTGCTGTGGTGAATCTGGGCTCCGCACTTGTTCTCATTCCGGAGGCCTTTAGACAACTTTTGGAAACTCCTCCATCAATCCTTAAGTACTGTAATTGTTTGCTCCGTTGAATGGAGATACACGAGATAAATGGCGCTTCCCCTCCTCAAAGTGAACTTCTTCTCCCCCGGTGACCCTGGCAACCCACATTCCATTTTTACTGGCCCTGCACAAACAAAACCAAAGTGAAAGGTCAAAGGTACCCCCTGAAAAGCACGAAACCCTGGGACGTGGCGTCTTCAAAACAAACGAGCATATCGTGTGCGGCCCCAGTTGTCAATCATTGTTTGTCCATGATGTCCAATCACCCATGTTTGAACCCTCCTGTGCTGGCCTGCAAGCTGCACGTGTACATGGATGTAGTCTTACAGCTTAAATCGTTTAAAACTGCCAGCTCCCTCTGTATACCTCACTGTCAAAGCTGGCAATTTGTTCTGCATTGTGGCTGCCGGAATACAATCGCTTCCCGGTGAAACCTCACACCTTCCCAGCCTTTGCGTTGATTCCTTGTGCCCCTGAGTTTCAAGTCCCCAAGCACTATAATACTGTTTTGGGCATTATGCTCACAAGTATCAATCGGCCAAGGCGCACTACGGAGGGATCATGCGGGAACAAGGCCGAGTCATCGAACGCCCATCCTCTGCCATCTGCAAGTCGCAAATACACACGTCCATCAGCACCAAGAATTTCTTCAGCCACTGCCAAAGTTGCATTTTGGCAAAGCCTTACAAGGAACTTGCTTTGGGCATTGCCAGTCAGATTCATTTTTGGATTTCTAGCCAACATTTTGTTCATCTTTTTGTCTCCACCGATCACGAGCCGACTCAACGGAGCATGCCACAACAAATGCGTTTTGTGCCTATAAACCAACTCGTCTCTTAGTGTGGACGTCTCTGTGGAAAGAAACCTTTGGCATCTTTTGTTTCGCTGATCTGGGTGCTCCGTCTAATCAGACTTAATCAGCTTGGATATCAGATTGAAGTGATTCAAGATGCTTTGGTGAATGGACTGTAACGTGCCAAATTGATAGCGGGAAGAGCCTCGTGCTGGAGAAAGGGTCATCGTCCGTGAAAAACCATGCGCAATGGAATTGGGACGCAAAAAACATGAAAATCCAAACATCGGCTTCAAGCACCAAATGATCGTAATGTCGCCTCCCAAGTCAATCATACAAGTGAGGGGAAATAAAAACAAAACTATTCTCTCACCCTGAAAAGCTTGGTGGGAATAATAAATTATGCGGCCGCCAGCATAGACCCCAGGTAGCAAAAAAACTTTTGTGGGAAGCGCACTGCAGCGGCACTCTGCAGCGCCCTCAGCGGCGCCAGCACCCAAGGCTCCTCCAAAGCGCACCCAGCCACACATCTGGCAGCGGCACCCTGCAGCGGCACCAGCACCCAAGCTCCAAAGCGCACCCAGCCACCTATCTAGCAGCGGCACCCTGCAGCGGCACCAGCACCCAAGCTCCAAGAAATCTCAGCAACCCCCTACTAGTAGAGATCAAAGCAGCACAACATGTGAGCCAGCATCTTTCTCGGATGTGATTCAGGGCATCACAGAGTCTTTTTTGTCACCATTGTATACCATTGTCAGCTAGCTAGCTAGAATCAGATTCTCCCATCCTTCCTCCACTCCTAATTCAGAAATCTTTGAATTGGGATCCCAATCGCGGCGAACCCCCTCCGTTGCGCCAAGCAGCGTTTCTCCTGTGCGAGGTGCTTCAACACTGGGTCCATGGCGAAGATCGACTCCACCGGCAAACGCGACACGGTACCACCTCAAATCTCACAGGTTTAGCATCCTCATGCTCGGTCTTAAGTCTGCCTTTAACAATTTTGCTGCTTGCTCCTGTTCGCTTCAGAAGCCGACTAGCAGGAAAAACGCTAGTTTACCAAGATCCCTGCGGATAACGACCTGCTTCTCCCGAAAACGCATTGGCTGGTGCAACCATGGTAAGCGGCTGGCTGGGTCCTTCAAGAATAAATCTGCTGAGAAGCAACAGAGTGCAGTTGATTCTCTGGACTAAGATCACAAAATGATAGCGAGAAAATCTCCTCCAGGTGCAACTGGGGCGGGGTGTGCAGGGCTTGCGCCCATTTGCATAGAAGCATCCATCCAGGGCGCTGCGCCCGCATGCATGCCAGCTTGCATACAACCAGCCATCACAGACAATTGCCAAAATGCATCTCACTTCAAACTGCTTGAGCTAGATTCAGGTCCGGCGGCAAAAAGTCAAACTTTGGCACTAATTATGTAATTCTTCCAGCTAGCATGTGTCATTCCTGGCAGGAATGACATGGACAAAGTATGCTGTGTTGGATTAGGTGCCATCACAACGACCCATCGGCATGTTTGGACACCAAGAGCTTTCCAAACCTGCTGAGTTCTGTGAGGAAAGGTTGACGCAAGGTGAAGATGAGAAACAGAGTGCAGAATGTGAGGCTAACACAGGCTAAGCGCCTAAATGACATCCAAAGCAACACCCAAGGCATCAGAGTGTTAGATATTGTTTGCAAGCCTCAAAGCCCTCGGCGACTGGTAGTTGTGCTCGCAGTGTGCACCGAGAAACAATTGACACTAGAAAAACAAACAGAAAACATATATAAATAATTATATATAACGAAAATAAATATATATATATATATGTATATGTTATATTATCAGAAAACGAAGTTATACGGGTGTGGTTGTTGCGCGTTTTTGTGGTTTGTGGTTTTCTGCGTTTTTTGAACATGTTGGTTGTTTTCAAGAACGTGTCTAGCAAAAATGTCAACTTGTAATCTGTCAGATCTCTCATCAAGCTTTTGCAAAAATACTAGCTCTCATGATTCCCACGCAGAAGTCCATCAACCATCATCTATCAGCAAGTCCACGACATCACATCATACATCATCAGGTCATCTCCTCTATGAGTATGAGGGGGACCTAGTCTCCAAGACCTCCAATCTCAATGAATCAACTGGGCCGGGGCCCAGGCTCCTCCCCGGGAGGGGGGCCCCCCCTCCCGAAAAGGAGACCGGCAGGCCCAGTTGCTGGAGATTGAGGACTCATTGAGATTGGAGGTCTTGGAGACAAGATCCCCCTCATAGAGGTGATAATGTGATGATGTATGATGTGATGTCCTGAACTTGCTGATAGATGATGGTTGATGGACTTCTGTGTGGGAATCATGAGAGCTAGCAGCTAGTATTTTTGCAAAAGCTTGATGAGAGATCTGACAGATCAGAGCCATGCCAATTGGATCATTGCCTATCAGAACATGGAGAAGGAATGGGGGATTCAGGCTCTATGTGGTGAGGGTGAATACCTATACTGTATGGTCTCAATGGTGGAGTGTGGAAGAGTGTCTTGATTTGGAGATGGGCATGTAGCTAGAGAGCATAGGAAAATGGAACTTCCAATGTGGATGAAATGAGATGAGATGAGATGAGATGAAGCATTGGGTGCATCAAACAGCTGGCATTGGGGTTGTGGCTGTATGTATGCAATTTCATTTGAGACCAAAGGCGGCTGCATAGACGCAACACCTGGGCATGAGAGATTGGGATCCTGACTTTGAGCAAATTGTATTGCTCTACAAGCCATTGAGCAAATGCCCCAGACAGCAGCGCAATATGGATGGTGCTTCGATTAGGTTTGTTATAGATGGGGGGATATGGAGCATAGACCTGAAGAGCCTTTTGGGTGAGAACAGTGGAGATGAGCAGGATTGGTCTAATCGAACTTGTGGGATAGGATGTGAACTCCCAACGCTCGCAGAATGGTTCCTATGACCCTGAGAATGAGGATGGGGCTTATTATGGGCATGGGCGTCAAGAAGGCCATGCAAAGCCCAATTCCAATCAGTCATCCAGGTCCAGTACTACTAAGCAAGTTTCTCAACTTTTGTTGGGCCTGGTGGGCACATTGTGTTTCAAGATAATGATCTTCTCTCCATTTCATAAAGAATGTGGAGGGAGAAGCCCATTTCATAAAGAATGTGGAGGGAGAAGCCCAAAAAGTGCTACCTTTGCAACAATGAGAATGCTTATGGGCAAGGAAGGGCAGAGTCGGATCCAGAGGTTGGTTTAAAAAAAGAAAAGTTGGTTTGTTTGGGAAACAGGAGCGCAAGAACATATCTAGACCGCAACCGTGGAAACTCTTTCAAAACATGACAAGATCTAAGAAAAACACAACAAAAACGCGTAAAAACCACACCCGCGCAACTTCGAGCTCTCTACATTATATAATGTTATATATTATATTATATTATGTTATAATCAAAGGAAGTTTAGAAGGAACTTCCGTGTTACGGACATTCAACAGCTGTTCAACCACCACTCATCATACACCACTCATCAGATTTCGTGGCAGGTGCAGCAATTTGTGAACCTCCATGTGCAGATTTCGTGGCAGGTGCAATACAAATGCGTTTTCGAGAGATAGCGGACGCACGAAATGCTGTATTTTTCAATAGAACCGGTGGCTTCGAACCTGGCAAGTCTAGCTCTGCGGAACGACTGTTGCGAGACGGTCTCGGGTCATGCTCGGTCGGCCGTCCATTGTGATTAGGTTTTCACTTGTCTCTTGAAGTGCAGATTTCGTGGCAGGCGCAGCACTTTGTGAACCTCCATGTGCAGATTTCGTAGCAGGCACAGCACTTTGTGAACCTCCATGTGCAGATTTCGTGGCAGGCACAGCGCTTTGTGAACCTCCATGCGCTGATTTCGTGGCAGGTGCAGCACCTTGTGAACCTCCAGGTGCAGATTTCGTGGCAGGCACAGCACTTTGTGAACCTCCATGTGCAGATTTCGTGGCAGGCACAGCACTTTGTGAACCTCCATGTGCAGATGTCGTGGCAGGCGCAGCACTTTGTGAACCTCCATGTGCAGATTTCGTAGCAGGTGCAGCACTTTGTGAACCTCCAGGTGCAGATTTCGTGGCAGGCACAGCACTTTGTGAACCTCCATGTGCAGATTTCGTGGCAGGCACAGCACTTTGTGAACCTCCATGTGCAGATTTCGTGGCAGGCACAGCATCTGGGGAGCTGGAAGCTGAGAACTGGCGAGTTTGTAGTGCAACTTTAGTACGCGGAGTATCTGGCGAGCTGGACGATGAGAACTGGCGACTCGGTAGTACAACTTTAGTACGCGGAGTATCTGTGGAGCTGGAAGCTGAGAACTGGCGACTTTCTAGTACAACTTTAGTACGCGGAGCAATCTGTGCAGCTAGAAGCTGAGAACTGGCGACTTTGTAGTACAACTTTAGTACGCGGAGTATCTGTGGAGCTGGAAGCTGAGAACTGGCGACTTTCTAGTACAACCTTAGTGCGCGGAGCAATCTGTAGAGCTGGAAGCTGAGAACTGGCGACATTGTAGTACAACTTTAGTACGCGGAGTATCTGGCGAGCTGGACGAGGAGAACTGGCGACTTTGTAGTACAACTTTACTACGCGGAGTATCTGTGGAGCTGGATGGTGAGAACTGGCGACTTTCT